GTGAATTGCTATTCTTGGTTTTCATAAGCCTGGAGTGTTTGACATTTACAGGTACTGCTTTTTTGTAAGAATAAATTACATTTTATAAAATCAGATAAGATAATTTTAAAATGTCAGCATGATGAAGCCATTAAGTCTTCAAACAGCAACATGCATATAGTAGCCAATGGAGGACACAGTGAAACAAATAATGTTTATTTCGGTGGCCCCAACTCATTAAGGAAAGGTTTCAGCATATTCTGCTTTAGAGAAGTAGAGACGTAATGGGGATTCTTCTCCATCCAAGTGTTTGTGTGATGAGAATTTCAGCATGAAGTGCTGCAGACTTTAGTTATTTGGGGAGAATACTGATGTGGACTATCCTCTGCATGTGGAAGAAATGTGTGTTACCTCCTTTTGTATCTTCCACATGGCCTTCCCATGTCCAGAATAATGCAGGCTGACTGACCATAGACTGCCTTGACCTGGTACAAGCTCTGAATATCATCAGGTACAGGTCTGCCAGATTCCTTTCTGCCTAGAAGACCTGAGCCCCCAGGAAGTCACTGCAAACCCCTTGTCCTAGGATGGCTGCCCTGAGGTCAGCTAGTGAAAGTCACCCGCTCTTGAGACAGAAATTCACCTCCCCAGGCTTGGAGGCTGCAGTGGTGAGTGGGAGGAAATGCAGGGGAAAGAGAAGAGGCTGAGAGGGCAAAGTTTAATTTCTCATTGGATGTCAGAGAGTATTTCCCCTAGTTGTTCTAATACCACAGAGACCCCAAGGATGCTTTGCTCAATTGGTATTTTCCTGGTTTAGTCTCAGTGGACAGATTCAGAGAGCAAAACAAAAATTGCACTAACCTAGCTGCCATGTGAGGCTCTTCATGCTAGCTGACTCATGTTTTTTTCCTGGTGATTTCTCTGTTACCAAGTATATGAGGGGATTATAGCAACACAGCGCAGGCTAGAATGAAGCTCTTCGTTTAAATCCTGATGTAGCAAAGACTGTTTCTCAGGATATTAGTGTATTAGAATAATTAACTCTATAACATTTTGACATGGTAATTTTAAAAAAAGGATGGTTTTATTATACCTCTTCCTGTAAATCTTTTTTTTTTTTCTTTTTTGAGAGGAAGTTTTCCTCTGTCACCCAGGCTGGAGTGCAATAGCATGATCTTAGCTCACTGCAACCTCTGCCTCTGGGGTTCAAGTGATTCTCCTGCCTTAGCCTCCTGAGTAGCTGGGATTACAGGCACCTGCCACCACACTCAGCTAATTTTTTTGTATTTTTGGTAGACACGGGGTTTCACCATGTTGGCCATGCTGGTTTTGAACACCTGACCTCAAGTGGTTCACCCGCCTTGGCCTCCCAAAGTGCTGGGATTACAAGCGTGAGCCAATGCGCCCAGCCCTCTTACTATAAATCTTGAGCAAAGCTGTTATGAGATTTTTGTGTGATAGAATTATTTGAATAATATTATGTGCAGGCAGGTAACTGGGATTTGAAAGACAATCATGAGCCAACTGGTGACCCTTTGAAATATGGAAACAGAGAATGTTGAAAATGGATGAAACCCCCTGACTCATTCTACAGGTGGTTTGGAAAGACTAAGTGATACAAGCAAGATCTTCCTTGTTTCTCTCCATCTCTTCCGGTCTTCTCTTCACCCTCTTTTTCTCCTTCTACCCTATTTTCTTTTTCTCCCTTCTTTTCTCGTCTTGTCTCTTTCATTATTCTCCCTTCCCCCATCCTCTCCTTACTCTAACAATTGTTGAAGACTTAAAATGTGCCAACATTGGGCCATGTGTGTTTTAGTAATTATATGTGGAATTTAATAATTCTAATATGTATATTTTAATAGTTAATATTTGTGTCATCATTCATTTAAAGAAACTGAGGCTTGGAATACTTAAATAACTTGCCCAGTGTCACATACCTTGCAAATGTAGTCTGACTCCAGAGCTCCTACTGCGTACCTGGTACATACATAGTGAGTGTTCTGTTGTGTCAGTGACGAGCTTATGATGATATTGGTGCTGATGGTGAAGAATGCAAAGAATAGAATGCAGAACAGTCTGGTGATTTGCTGAGTGTCACACAGTAGTCGGTGGCACTGGAATTTAACTTGCCTAGTTCTCTGATTCCAAGCCACTCTTCTCTCTGCAGTGCCAGGTTGCTGAATATATGAAAAAAAAAATAGTACACTAATTTCTAATTACCTCCTGTCCAGGTTCTGAATTCTCACTTTATTTGAAGTTTCTTCTTCCTCCTCTTCCTCCTAAACAACATGTTTGTGGATTATAGGCTCTCACTCCTCTTCCTCCTCCACTATCACCACTACTTCTACTACTACTTCTTCTCTCTTTTTTTTTCAAGATGAAGTTTCACTTTTGTTGCCCATGCTAGAGTGCAATGGCATGATCTCGGCTCACTGCAACCTCTGCCTCCTGGGTTCAAGCGATTCTCCTGCCTCAGCCTCCTGAGTAGCTGGGATTATAGGCATGCACCACCACGCCTGGCTAATTTTGTATTTTTAATAGAGACAGGGTTTCTCCATGTTGGTGAGGCTGGTCTCGAACTCCTGACCTCAGGTGATCCACCTGCCTCAGCCTCCCAAAGTGCTGGGATTACAGGCATGAGCCAACATGCCTAGCCTTGAAGTTTTAAACAGAACTGATAAGGGACAATGACCAAGAAACTGCTTTAGACTAATATTTGTTTCTTTACAGAGAAAAAAAAATCTAATATACTATTATGTACTTCTCTGACTCCTTTTTTTTTTTTTGAGAAGAGTCTTACTCTGTCACCAGGCTGGAGTGCAGTGGCGCAATCTCGGCTCACTGCAACCTCTGCCTTCTGGATTCAAGTGATTCTTCTGCCTCAGCCTCCCAAGTAGCTGGGACCACAGGCGTGTGCCACCATGCATGGCTAATTGTTTTGTATTTTTTAAGTAGAGACAGAATTTCACCATATTGGCCAGGATGGTCTTGATCGCTTGAACTCATGATCCGCCTGGGCCTCCCAAAGTGCTGGGATTACAGGTGTGAGCCACCGCGCCCTGCCAACTCCTTTTTTTTTTTTTTTTTTTAAGCCTTTGTCATCAGGAAGAATTCTAGTTTTAAACCACGGTGGGGTATTACACTGAATCTATGGTTGCCCTGTATCAGAAGTCATTGTCTCTTTTCCCGACATGAGGCCAATAGCTCTCACTCAAGGTTAACTGACCTTTTAGGGCCTGCATGGGTCATGAGTGTTGGTGATCCATTTTAGCAGTTAGCCTTATGGGAGAGAGACCAGGACTCCAGGCTGTCAATCTGCGGTGGCTGCCATTCCCTCCCCTTTCCTCCACTTTTGAAAGCTACCTGGGGCTGGGTGTTGGCTGCCATTCTGCCATGTGCGGGTGGCTGGACTGGGCTGGCTAATCCAGTCTGCATCCACAGCAGTTTTAGAAGAAAAAAAACATTAGACAGTCAGCCCACAATTTTCTTACCTCCCTGGCCTTCTTTATACGTTTCAGCTTGATGAAATTATATCTCTGTTCTTTTCAAGGCTTAGCTCATTCCTTCAGGAACTCTTCTTTGCTTTCCACTCCACAGCTCCAAGCTGAGAATAATGTCACCCTTCAGGAAAGTTCCCCAAACATCCTGTAGCTCCCTAATCACTCTTGTTATTCTCTGCCTAGCGTATTTGTGACCATCTCCTGGTCTCCATTAGAATATAAGACTTAGAAGGTAAAGACTGAGCTTTGCCAATCTTCTGTTTGCTCACAACTTGTAGGACAATGACTTTTAGGTTATCTGGGGCTCAACGCATTGAGATATTATTGAATTTTCAGGCAGGTATATACCAAATGGTGACAAAGGCTCAGAAAGGCAGGAATGGCTGCCAGATTCCTTTTTCCATGTTCTGTGTCAGGGATTCATCCTTTAATTTATGGCTTAGTTTAATAAAAGGACAACTTCTAAACCAAGGGTTGGCACACAGTGGCCTTTCAGCTACATTCAGCAGTGATCTAAGAATGGTTTTTATATTTTTGAGTGATGGGAGGGGGAGACAGAACAGAAAAAGAATAATATGTCAATGCTCATTCAGATTATATTAAAATTTAAATATAAAATTGAAATTATATGAAATTTAGATGTCATTTTCCATGAATAATATTTAATGAAATACAGTCATACCCTCTTTGAATATGTATGGCCTAAGACCAGTTTTACACCAAAACAGCAGAGTTGAGTAGTTACAACAGGGACGTACATCCCATGAAGCCTAAAATATTTAGTGTCAGGACTTTTAATAAAAAGTGTGCCAAGCCCTGTTCTGAGTCATGCCCAGAAATGTGTACCACTCTGTGAAAGAGTTGGGGAGCCCTTCAGATAAAGGGCAGAGTGGATATAGGCACAGATGGCCTAGAGGAAAAGGAATGTGGAGATAAGAAAAGGAAGAAAGGGAGGCAGAGCCATACTTGCAGACATCAAATCTTTTGGGTTTTACATACATGCATTGCAAACATCTCCACAAAGGATTCTTATAGTTGGTAGATATGCCTGAGGGGCAGATATTGGGTGTTTTACAGGCGCTTCCTGCTCTTCTAAAAGGATTGTGCATGGCTCCTTTGAAGAAACGATGATATTAGGAGATTATCATTCATTTCTGATCATTCTAGGTACGAAGGCTAACTAATATTTTCAGTAAGATCTAATGGGCTTTGTGTCTTAATTGTCTCTGATTCAACCATAATGTGTGTGTGTGCTGGGGAAATCAATATTGTGTGTGTGTGTGTGTGTGTGTGTGTGTGTGTGTGTGTGTGTATTTATTTCTTTGAGGGAAATCTCTTTTAGACAGATGCTAATTAATTATCATTTATATAGGGATCATTAAACATTTGGAGTTTTTGAGTAAAGATACATTAACTGGAACTTGGCTAAAGCCAGTTCAGCCCCTTGGAGAGTTGTAATGACAGTTCTTTTTGTTTAGAAATGTATCATTTTCATGTGTTTCTCTTATTTTCTTATTGCAGGGTAATGCCCTGTACTTCAAATCGGCCAGAAATGTTACAGTGAACATTCTCAATGACCAGACTAAAGTGCTGACTCAGCTGATAACAGGTAAGAAAAGGGAGAACTTAGCAGTGCCTGCCACTTAGAAAACAGAATTAATGGTTAGAGGAAACGCCATATAAACTTGAAAGTAAAGTCTGCTAACACATCGTGTTGAGAAAGAGAATGTAGCATGTATTCCATGATTCTACTAGAGAGTAGAATCCCATCTGTACACATATTACACTTATGATATCCGACGATACCTACTTAGTGGGGTAAGAAAAGCAGGTTTTCACAGAATATGGCCCCTAAGTATAAGCCAGCTGCTTCATCTGGTGCTCAGCCAAAGAAAAGTTTCTTGCTCCAATGCTGGAGGAAAAAAACAGGCTGTGTTGGATTGGCTGAGAGAAGAACACATACCTACAAAGCCAGGGACCATACTTTACGGGTTGTGAAAGGGATTCTTAACGATAATTTGAACCCATGCCATATTTGTTGTACATGCTGACTTTGAACCTAACTCAATTACAAGATGTGGATGTATCTTTACTGAGTATATTTGTGTTTGATTCCTTCTAATATAACAGATCTGTGCCTAACAGCTGTGGAAAGCACCCACTGGGTTTTAAGCTACACATTCCTGAAATCTAAACAAGGACTGGTTATTCACAATAATGATTATAATGATAAACGTGGACCTCGTGATTTAGTAATGTGTTGAGCAGCACAGTCAGTGCCCACTCTGTAGGTGATAAGCGGCAGTGAACAGGGAGGCATTATGCACCCCCACAGTGGGAGGAAAAAGGAATGTATGTCTGAATGGCACTGTTATACTTACAGACAGAAAATGCCATTTGTTTGGCTTCAGGGCTAAGAGAAAAGTATACAGATGGACATTTTGAGAAGCTAGTTACCCAAATGCTTTGAAACATTACTGTTATTGTGCATAAAATATCTGGAACCCACCAATAAACAGGCCATGGGGAAAGAAGTACCTTTGTGCCCAGAGTCTTCACTGCTGGGGAGGCAGCCTCACTCCTGCTCTGCCCCTGGAGTGCTGCATATGGATATCTAGAGTTTCATAGCCAGTGGGTGACATGGCCCATCCGCCAATCAAGAAACTCAGGGACTGAAGGAACTGCTGCCCGGCAGAGCCCATAATCCATAAACATGTTGTTTCAGCGTGTGACTGCATCTTCTGCCTTGCTTATATAACATCTGGCCTGCAGTCACAATGCTAAATAATTAAATAAACAGCTTCAGTAAGCAATGATTTAAGCAGCATGTGTGAAAATTGCCTCCAGGAGGGAAATAAATCCAACCTCCAGCTCCCAGATTCCCACATTCAAAAGGAGCTTATTTAGCCTGTTGATCATTTGCCATTTATTTGCAATGGGAGATTTGGTTTACTTGAGAGATTTTGTTTTGATAAAGCTGGAACTGCCCAAATGACTACTATTCAGCAAAAGACTGAGTCAGTCTCTCTCTCTTCTTCCCCCCACCTCTTCCTTTCCCTTCTCCCCTTACTCTCCCCCACACCCCTTTTCCCCTCCCCTTCAGCATTTCTCTCCCTCTTCCTTCCCTTCTCTCCTCACCCCTTTATCTCTCTCTCCTTCCCCTTCTCTCCTCTCTTCTCTCTTCCTCTTCCTCTCTTCCCTTCTTTCTTCCTCCTGTTCCCTCCTCCTGTGCCACTGTTCTTGACTCTATCCCTCCAGTGGTATTTGTTTTCTGTCTCCCTACAATAAATTCTAGAGAAGATAATAGATATGTTTAAAACATCATTCTAAACACACATACGCCCTTAAAAGTTTTCCTTCAACACTCTTCTTTCACATTAATTCACACAGTGGAGAAGCGCCCAGCCATCCCAGCAGACATACCTTCTAATGCCTGTTTTGTCGAGTGGTGTACTTACTGCAAAACAAATCACCCCTGTCTTCTAAGCAGTGAGGCCTACAAAGGCAATCTTGAGGAATGAAGAATCCCTCTGCTTACCTAAAGAATGTCTCAAAAGCCCATTCAAAGTTCTGATGTTAGATGTTCAGGAGGTCTTTTCACAGGAAACAGTCCTTCACATGACAGTTAAGTTCTCAAGTTAGACTGCAAATGCCTATTTACCCATAAGGCAGGCTGCTGATTTAGTATCTCAATAGTGGATCTGAATGGGAAATCCTCATGCCTGCATGGAGAAAAGCAGTGGAGGTGCTTTGAACAGCATCATGAGGGAGTGGGGAAGGGTCCTAATATTAAGATAGCTGGGGAGAGAAATTAGGCTTGAAGGCCACTAGGCCTTTGCAGCTCCGAGATTCATGGAGACTGCTGATGTATCCTAATGGGGCTTCAGTTCTCCTCCCTGTTTAGGAGATTAAGTAAGGAGGCCCTCCACACATAGACTACGCAGAGGGGGATTAACTCAAGATTAGTTTCACATTAGGAGTGGTGATTTTTTTCATCCCAGAGAGGAACAGTGAGTTCAGCAAAGGACCTCCTGAGCTGTCTCCAGCTCCATTTGCATTTTTCTCTAGAGTCATTTTTAAGGATTCCAGCCATGTCCAGGGAATTTGGCAGCCCCAGGTGAAATCAACAAAGGACAAGCCGACTGCACCATTGAGCCAGCAGTTGCTCTGTGGGGTTTTGGCTAAAACTATCAATTACTGAGCTTTAGATACCTAAATTGTTCTGCCTCTTGGTAAATTCCATTTTATGTTTTGAGAAGCCCTGAAAAGCAAGATAACTTAATTGTACTTTATGTTCTCTGATTGCTGAAGTATACTTTCTATACTGCTATAGTCCTTTAGTGTACACTCCTGTATGTATCACAGCTCTTCATGAATTCAAAGTAACACAGGAAGGTGTCCTTAACTTCTCAGGGACCAGGTTGATGATACTGCCAGGTTCACAGAGGAGAATTCCAAGCATGTGTGTCCCCAAGTTATACAACTTCGTTTTCATATGAAGGGGTCCAAACTGGACAAACTGTGCTTGCCCTGTGCCCATCCTGAGGTCATTCATTCATTCATTAGCACTTCGTTACCTTCCCATTTTCAATTTCCCTCCTCACAAAAATAAAGTAATAATTTTAAAGTATTAACAAATATAGTATAGATTTTATTGAAGGTTTTGATGCAATCAAGAAGATAGCTGCACCCTAGCCTTTGCAGAAAAACTGAAGGCAAATCCCTCATTGGACATCTCGGCTCCTTCAAGATTTCCTTCTGGCCCTCGTCTCCAGTTTTCTATTTCTCCTTATCCTCACAGAGCTTTTTCTAGCTGTTCCAGATGTGCTGGCCCCAGCCCCCTCACCCCAATGTCTCCTTCATAGACAACTAAATGCCCCTTTCTTTCTGTGGAAAAATTCTCAGAGCTCCATTCCAGACCCAGACCTGCCACTGGCTCACTCAGTAACCTTGTGAGAGCCCTCAGCCTGGCCACCATTTGTTCTCCTCACCTGCAGCATCAAGGTGGTCAGACAAGATGAATTCTGGGTTCCATGATGCTTGTAAGTGATGTCCTATTTCTGCTGTTTCAATATCCTACTCATTAGGGAGCCTTTCCAATATCCTTCTTTGTGTTGGAGGGCTGGTATGGATATACTGGCAAGGGATGAGGTCTGCCAAATAGATGTGATTATGTGACTAAGGAAAGTGCATTAATAAGTACTCGTGACACATTCTTTTCCATGTGTTGTCACCATTGCCATAGAAGAATAGTGCTGGTGATGTCCACAAGAGTGGTTTTCTAAACCCACAGCACTTTACCACCCATAGATTTGTATTTATAAACACAATGTCATTGGATCCTTTCAAACTTTCTATAAAGTAGATAGAGGAGGTGATGATAGTCCAATGTTATAGATACAGAAACCGAGGTTCAGAAAGATCAAATGATTTGCCCAAATCACATTGCCACAAAATGAGAGTGAGTTGGGAAATAATTCATGTCTTCTGATTCTTAGTTTGACAGTCTTGACAAAGAGAAAAGCTACCCCAGACGTCCAGTGGCAGGCTGGCACTGGCAGCCAGGCCTTAGCATTCTTCTGCTTCAATGTGAATAATTTCACAGAACACCAGCACCAGGCAAGGCTGTTCTGTGGCCATGATGGATCAAGACAAAACAAAACACAAACACACAAACGCAACTCTGATCACGTGTGTACATAGCAAATATATCAACATTGTCCAAGCCACAAAAAAGACCAAACATCCTCCTATCCTGGCTAATAGGAGTGCCTCTGTTTCTTTGTTCATGACAGTTTTAGCATTTCCCTGGTCTTTTGTCTAGATAAGATTTACTCCCATTTCCTGACAGTATTTAATCCAGGATAAAGCCTTATTTCGTTAAGCATTCCCCAAAATAACCTAATACAAGGTCAAATCCTATGATAAGTCCTTTCTCATGGCTTCTTTCTAAGATGCCCTGTGGTTTTCCTTATGGTGTGTGTTGTCCCTCACTGCAATGAGTATAAACCCAATTTGTTCAACAGCAGGTGTGTTCCTAGCGATCTTTGGCTGGAAGGCACTGGGGACTATCTCATTGCTATTTATTATTAAGTGACACTCTTTTGAAAAATACCAAAAAGAAAACAATTCCGTGTCAGAATCTCCTGGACAATTTTGGAAAAATACAAGATTTCTAGACTCTGCCCTCAAATTTTTTTCTGACGGAACTTCTAGATGAAATGATGAATTTCTTTTGATCTGAGCTAGGTTCAGTGAGAACAGTTACACCCCTGGATTCTTCCTCTGCATTTCTGTAGACCAGCTTTTGAGAATCCCCTGAAATTCAGGTATTCAGGTAGACCCAGCTCAGATAGATTGGAATGCCTTCTTTTAGAAATTCTAAATCACCAACCGGTTTTACTTTTTCCATAATACCTAAAACTTTTGCAGTTTTCTGGTTTAATAATAAAATTTTAAATGTATATTGGTGTGTCTCCATCAGAATATAGATGCTATAGAATCAGGGGCTTGACTTCTTTATACAGTATGATAGCTCCACATTCAAGAACAACATCTGTTGTCGCCTGATAAATCATCTAGATTTAGTTTTCACTGAACAAAATCCTAGCATAAAAGATTAAACAACTTCTAAGGTAATTAATTACAATAATCATTTCTGCTAGTAACTGATCTATATACTAAGGAAATAGATTGCTCTTGATGTCAAATGCAGCCAGTGGGTTACGGGTACAAAGTGAATCAGATTTCAGCTGAATTTTAAAAAGTTCTTTCTGACAATTAGGGAGGGCCAAAGATATGTGATTGCCTCAAGAAGTGAGGTAATCCCTTCTTGAGCCTCTGGTGCCTTGATATATGCGAACAAAAATCCACAACTATGTGATGGCAGTTTGGTGGTTAGCTGAGGGAAATCACAGTCAAGCATTAGTTTCGAGGAAGGGCATGCTGGTCTTCAAAACGATAGCCCAAGAGTATATGACTAAAAGTAATTTACAAGACCTGGCTACAGTCATGAGACTGATTTTCATGGTCAGCTTTTGAAAACCAGTCCAATACAATCTTGTTAGATGTATATGTTCTATGAAAAGCCATTTGTAGTCAAAGCGATAAGACTAATATTTTTTTTTTCTCTCTCTCTCTCTCTCTCTCTCTCAGGTCCAAAAGCTGTAGAAGCTTATGGCAAAAAGTTTGAAGTAAAAACTGTTTCTGGAAAATTGCTCTTCTCTGCAGACGATAATGAAGTGGTCGTAGGAGCTGAAAGATTAAGAGTTTTAGGTAAGAAAACTTGAATCATTGAACTTGTTTGATCCTACTATGTGCATTTTAGAGGAGACGCAAAATGGTGTTACGAACTGAATATGTCCTCCAAAAATTCGTATGTTGAAATTCTGACTCCCAAGGTAATGGTATTAGGAGGTGGAGCCTTGGTGGATAATTAAGTCATGAGGGTGGAGCCCTCATAAATGGGATTAGTGTCTTTCCAAGGGGATGAAAAGACCAGAGCTCCGTCTCTGTCATGTGAGGGTACAAGATAGTCAGCAGTCTGCAATCTGGAAGAGGAGCCTCACCAGAACCTGACCAGGCTGGCATCTGATCTCAGGCTTCCAGCCTCCAGAACTGTGAGAAATCAACTTCTGTTGTTTATAAGCCACCCAGGCTATGGTACTTTGTTACAGCAGCCTGAACTGACTAAGACAAATGGTGTCTAGCAGAGTGATTTAGGCCAGTTTCCTGGATTCTTTTAAAGCAAGGAGGTTGAACTTCCCTGAGTCTGGTCCCCTAGTGGAAATTTCTCAAGCTGTCAAGTCTTTTTGGCACATGTTTCAACACTGAGCTTTGTATGAGAATGAGTGCTCATCCAAAGATGTCTCATTTAGCACATTCTGTCCTCACAGACTGGCAGTCGTGCTTGACACATTCCAGACTTGCATACATGATACAGCGATTCCTAAACCTGGTTGCATTTGAAGAATCATCTAGGAAACTGTTGAAGGCTTAGGTTCATAGTTCCAACTCTGATTTACTGAATTAATGGTGAAAACACCGAGAGTTCATTATTAAAAATATTTGCGGAAATGCCTATGATCCCACTATTGGAATTATTGAATTTGAGCACATGACAAATGGATCTTTTATGGCTGTACACTGAAATAATCCAGCATGGTGATTTATGGGTCCTAGAACTCAAGCTGACCTGGCTTTTCACTCTTGTCACCCACTAGTTTTGTGACTTTGGGCAAGTTGCTGGTGTCACTGAGCCAGTTTCCTTTTCTGCTCAATAGGACTAAGAGCATCTCCCATCTCAAGTTGTCCCTAAGGCTAAATGAGACCATGTTACCTCCACTTATCGCAGCCCCTAGCACAAAATAATACTCAGTCAACAGTAGGTGCTGCTGCTGTTACTACTTGTACTGCTATTACTATTAATGTTAACACTACTTTTCCTTCTTTAGCTCCCTGAGATTCACTGTAGCACAGTGATTAAAATCTCAGGCTCTAGAATCAACTCATTTTTCACCCAGTTTCTATCCTTTACTAGCTGTGTAACCTTAAGCAATGTATCTAGCCTCTCTGTGCCTGCTTGCTTAAATATTTATAAAGTTGGTGTAATAGGAGTATCTTCTGAGATTGCTGAAAAATATTGAATGAAATCATCTATGTAAAGTAGTGAGTTGACTAAAATACTAAGTGCTCAGTGTTATGATCTTAAATTAGTATTATTATAAGGCACTTTTACTTGAAATTATATTTGTCTTTGCATTATTATTTGCACTCTGCATCTTCTTTATCTTTCATACTTTTGTCATTTTCTTGTTCTTTACCTCCTCCCACAATCAGTTTATCTGGTCTATTTCTCTGTTTCCCTCTCAGTACACATACATGTCTAATTTCCTTCCTGGATGACTCTTAGAGCTTCATCTCCAGCCTGGTACCTTCCTTGAATTCTGGATCTTCTTCATCTGGATCTTCTGCCAGCCTCTCAAGTTCAGTGGATGTTGAATGCCTATCATGGTCAAATGCACACACATGTACATGTATGCACATATATTCCATCACCGTCACCCCCCACTCTCCCACTTGTATTTGCCCCTGACTTCTCTAATACTCCTTATTGGCCCCATTATACTCTCCTGTTCCATTCTCAAAACTTTAGCAGCCTCCTGGCCATCATGAGCTCAGCAGAGTCAAAAGATGGAAGTGACCGTTCTTATACGGTCTAATGGAGGCAAAAATGCAGGGTGCAGAGATGATAAAGCCAAGTGCAGTCTAATAATCCCTGTTCAGTGGTTTACTTGTGGTGTGATCTGAAACAACCCCCTTTGTCTTTCAGGGCCTTGCATTTTTTCTGTCTGTAAAATTAGAGTTACCCAGAAATTTTAAACAATGTTTCCAGTGACAGAAGCTTTTAAAAGTAAAATGCAATACACAATCCCAATAAATAAAATAGATGAAGAACAAGATTTCTCTGGGTTGTAGGCGAGGGTATTAGTATGTTCTCACCTTGTTAATAAAGACATGCCCAAGGCTGGGTAATTTATAAAGAAAAAGATGTTTAATGAACTCACAGCTCCACATGGCTGAGGAGGCCTCACAATCATGACAGAAGGCAAAGGAAGCACGAAGGCACATTTTACATGGCAGCAGGCAAGAGAGCATGTGCAGATGAGCTGCCCTTTATAAAACATCACATCTAGTGAAACTTATTCACTCTCACAGGAACCGCATAGGAAAAACCCAGCCTGTGATTCAATCACCTCCAACTGGGTTCCTCCCATGACACGTGGGGACTATGAGAGCTACAATTCAAGACCAAATTTGAGTGGGGACACAGCCAAACCATATCAGTGAGGATTTCAAAGGAAAGGCTTGAGACTTGGAGTCTTAGTACAGTTTGATTCTTTTCCCCTCTGGATACTCTGGGGACCACTTATAACTTATTTTTGAAACCCCTTAAGTGGATAATATTTTTTTAAAAGTCTGTTGATCACTTGCTATGATCTAGGTACCATGCTTGCTATGCGTTATTATATTTGCACCTCACAAACACTTGTGTGGTAGACACCATTTTTATCACCCCTGGATTACAGATAACACAGTTGAGCTGAGCCATAGGGAGAGGTGAACCAAAGTATGGCTGACAGCTAGAATTCCCAGTCAGGCATGTTGGACATAGAGGACTTTACCCTAAAGCCCTATACTTGCTGCCTCCTCTATTTTGTCTCATTTTCAGATGAGGAACATTGCCCAAGATCAAGTGCCAGTAAGTGGTAGGGCCCATGCTCAAACCCCTGCCGACAGACTCCAGCCTCAGTGAACTTCACTACATGTAAATATGTTCCTAAGACCTTTCCTATTCTCACAATTTATGCTTTTCTCTTTTTGCAGAAATGGGATTTTCTGTTTTAATTATTGGCTGGTGTAGAGGGAAACCCAAAGTCTTCAAGCTATCCTCTTGTGTAAAACTACTTTGGGCCAGGCTCAGTGGCTCACGTCTGTAATCCCAGCACTTTGGGAGGCTGAGGTGGGTGGATCACCTGTAGTCAGGATTTAGAGACCAGACTGGCCAACATGGTGAAACCGCATCTCAAAAAAATACAAAAATTGCCAAGCCTGGTGGCACACACCTATAGTCCCAGCTACTGAGAAAGCTGAGGCAGGAGAAACACTTGAACCCAGGAGGCAGAGTTTGCAGTGAGCCAAGATTGCCCCACTGCACTTCAGCATGGCCAACGTAGTGAGACTGTCTCCAAAAAAAAAAAAAAGAGTGTTTTGTTGTACCAGCTGTAAAACAAAATGCCTGAGGGAAAAAGTGGTGTCATCTCATACCCAGATCATTGTATGCAAGAGAACTGGGCACTTCCTCTTAATTCCTTGGTACATCATGAGTCACTTTACCGCTTTAAAATCTGACTTTGCAAAGACACAGGATAATTTTAAACGTCCAAACACTTTGGCTTAATCTTAACATACAAAACTCTGTGATGGTATCACTTAAGAACTTAACCTCTATCCTAACCCACTGCATAGTTACTTAGACAGAAGACTGAGAAACGATTATACTTTTTGGTGACTTCAAAGCAGGTGCGTATTTTCATTGTTGTTTGCAGCTATGCTTGTGATATTTCACTTAGAGCATAATATAGGATAAAATCTCTCTCTCTCCATCATTAGGAACATTTGCTTTTTTATGTGAAATGCAGAAAGGAAGCATCAAAATAAATATCACTGCTGCTATCAGTGCTAAAAAGACTTGAAAATGACCACCCCACAAATCTTGCATCAACCTACTCAGTGAAATGAGCCAGTGTGTTACAGAAATGAGTTTCCTGTCAGCTGGGTTTCAGCCATATGGTGTGGAATGACAAGTCTAGGCAGTTTCATTTTCAGCATAATGAGAAGTTTGTCTTTTTGAGTTGTCAGACTGTGTAAACTCTTGGGAGCTTTGAATCTGGTTGCACATTTCATGGTAGCATCTAACATAGCTGGGTTTTATCCTTATCGGGACCACTTAGGACCTGAGTGACTGTATTCAAGTATGTTTTCTCTCTAAGGTTTAGTTTCCATTTGTATAGAGAAATAGAAACAAAATAGCAAATGGAAGGAAGAATGAATGAATATAATAAAAAACATAAGTAAATAATTATGTAAAAAGTCAATTATTTAAGTTGATACTGACTTGAGTAGAAATAAGCAGTAGAGGCCTAAAAACATAATGTCTCTTGCATCTAGTAGCTTTACTTGTGGATTCAGAACAATTTTTTAAAATTTTTCTCTGGATAGCCATACCCACCTATTTAGATTTTAGGACAATGACAACCTTTAGTACATTCAAGGGATCTTGCATAGTATGGCTAAAAGACTAGAAGTTCAGTTATTTGGAAACTTTTGTTCTGGAAAAGATATGGAAGGAACAAATGTAGGTAGACAGTAGTCACTGATCTCTCATACATGCATGACTTTCCTGGGGAAAACAGAGCATCCAAGAGTCATGCAGTTGAGGAACTAAAAACACAGGTTTTGTAGCTAACTGTATATTCTGGTTTCTTTGGTCAGCTAGAGCTTTGGGTATGCTGCTTCACTGTTCTAGGGATCCTCTTATAATTCTGTGACATAGGGTAATAATGCCTGGTACTCCGTGCTGTTGGGAGTACTGAACTGCACAATGTGTGTAGAGTTAATAGTACAGTGTGCGGAACACAGAAAGCATTCAGTGCATGCTAACTGTTGTTGGTGATGAATTTTTTTTTCAATCGACACATTACAGTCGAACATAG